CTCAGCCCCGCCCCGGCCCCGCGCCCAGGGTGACCCCGGGCTCACAAGGGGTGGGTGTAGCCCCGGGGGGCCCCCGAGGTGGGCCCAAAACTGCATTTTTGCAGTTTGGCCCAGGGGGTGCAAGCTGCCGCTGCGCACCCCCCTGTATTTTTATATTTTATTTTTTGAATTTGTTTTTGATTTTTTTTTATTTTTTTTTTGGGGGGCGGTCCGAAGCCGGGGTCAGGGGTGCCCAACCCCGGACCTCCGCCGGGGCCCCGGGGTCGGGGCTCGACAATCCTGATTGTATTTCTTCTTGTGGTATTTTATTGTAACCAGTGTTCCCATTATTCGCGGAAGTTATCAATTGATGTTTCTCTGCAGTGATATGATTGAATGGTTTGAATTTTTCATGAACTTCCTTTACAGTTTAAACACCTCTTTGTAATATCACTTATTATTCACACTATATTATTTCTTTATGGTAGGAGAATGTCGTTTACATTTGTATTGTAAAAGTTCCATGAAAATAGGGGGAAAACCCTGCGTACAACAAAAGTTGTTTTTGAATTGTTTCCTCACTATTGGTTGTGATTTGATTGACATGAGATATGATATATTGATACTTGATGATCATCTCAGAGAAGGTTTAATCCTCCTTGAGTACGTTCTGATTAATACTCAGACACGAATATTATAGATGTATTTGTACGCTACGTTATTGAGTCAGTTCTTATTTGCATTATTTGAGATCTAACCCCAAAATGGAGGGTTGACGGTGACCTCAAAAATTGAGTCTTATTTTGAGTCATGAAAATTATTGGAGGGACATCAAAAGATGGGCCTTGCAATGAAAAGACACATGAGATGTGTTCTCTTTTGAACTTCTTTTAACATGTGTATATTCTGCAGAGGGCACCGTTCACCATCCCAATGGGGTTAGTGTGAGATAAGATTAAAGGATCCCGAAATGAGATCGCTTGAAATTGTTGACGTTCTGAAATGATATTGTGGAAGCCACATTTTTTATATTTATTTTGGGTCTTTCGGCTTCTTTTACTTCTTTTGAGAGATCCCCGAGACGTGTGTCTGACTTAGCTCTGATCGAGACAGAAAGACACGACCACTGAGTGACAACCTGACAATGCCCCTCGTTCATCCACTATTTGGCAATCTGACCATGACGAGAAATTTGTTCTTATTGGTTGATTCATATATTGATTTTTGGTATATATTAAAATGCACATCGTTCATCCAATAAGTGGCAACCTGACGAGGGGGTAAAATTTGTCAATAAATTATGATTTTTTTTTTGTATATATTGAAATGAATATTTTTCATCCACTTCAGGAGGTCAGACTAAGGGACTAAATTACCAAGCCTGTGGTGAAAAATTGGCATCGTTGGGACGTAACTCCCAGCGTTGGTTGCTGACCAAGTATAACTTGGCAGCGGACCTTCTGGTTTTGGCCTAGAGTTGAAACCTAAAGGGAGTAAGGGGTGGGCGCCCTATTGGGGATCAACTCAAGTAGTTATCAGAGGGGTCGAGAGTCAAGTCTAGAAGTTGGGTAAAACCCAAGATAGGAGGATTTACCCGTTATTGCGTAACCAATATGGGAACCACTATTAATATAACAACATAGTGAGCCGCAGATGTGGCCTGATCAACCGGGCTGTGGTGGGATAAGACCGAGACCGCCGATCCTCTCGCATTAGACTTCTGGTGGGACGGTGATATGGTTTAGGTTAAGACCCGCGGCCAAAGGGGCAGATTCTATGACTCCGCTGACAACCAACGAGGATTTGGGAAGAAAGTCTAAGGATGTGGAAAAGATGATTGTTGTCTCTCTTCGTAACTTTCACCGTTGTAATACAGATTCAATATCCCCACAATTGGTTTATTGAGTTTGGTTTGTGATTTCGGTATGTGGGAGACTCGGGTTAGAATCCCAGTGATGGTAGAATGTACCAAGAGAGGCAATGTGAATCTTGACTGCATCTCAATCTATGGACTCGGATTTGGCTATCCACTTATCAAAGATGCGCCTTATTTTGGGAAAGGGATTCACCTTCTCTTTCAAACAGGAAAGAGAAGTACATGTATTGTTTTGTATTGTATCATCTGTCTAGTGGTGTTATCTATCTTGTCATATTTTACCAAGTTGATTTGATTTTGGAAAACGATGTAAAGGGGAACTATATGAACGAATGTGATAAACATCCCTAGCGACGGGAACGTCGCTTAATAGGGTCTGGGAATATTGTCGGACCAAATACCCTTATAAGGGTATTTGGCCATGCTTTTGCATTCGACACAGTGACGACGTCGGCTACCATGACAGAGTCTGAATGAAAAGGGTGTGCTCGCTTCGGCGTGACACTCGAAACAATTTCCTCGGTCAGTGAGGCCGGGGCGAATCGGTGAGAAAATTTTGAGAGTATGCGCACGCGTTGTTAAGATGCGCGCTGTGATGGTTAGGATTAGTAGTAGTACCCTCCGACCGAAAAGGTCGAGGGGTTGACTGGGTTAGTACTGTGTCGAGTAGATCTACGACACACACTGAAACTTGGTTTGGTACCTGTCTACCTACCGGTACTGGGGATATAAAAATGTTAGCTTTTGTCTTCATCTACTCGGCCTCCGAGTCGGGTACTCGGCACATCTACCTCTACTTGGTGAGGTACCGACTTACCTACCACTTGAATGTTTTCCCCGCTGCGACCCTCAAATGTCACGGCCATAGCTAAGTACCGGCCCTTCGGGGTTTCCGGTCAATCAAGTGTCGTTGCGGGTCACACACATGTTCAAGCCAACACGCACTTCAGGTCGGCCGGCGTGCACACGTGCAGACTTAGAAAACGGGCTCAGACCACTAGGCGGATTGATTGCCACTCCTCTACATATACCCGAGTTGCTCCTTTTCTACTCGAAGTAGGAGCTAACTCAGTGGGTTTCAGTGCGGATTGAGGATCAGGTGACTCGGGGATCGAATCCATCCGACCCGGAGCTAGCTCTTTTTTATCAAGAGCTCCATTATGGTTTCACCCCGCGTTTGGACGGTCGGGACTTGAACCCGTGACCTCTTAAAGTTAGTTTGAGTTAGTAAGTTACAGTTAGTCCCGTTTGAAAACGAGGGCACGACACTTAGCATGAATTGATAGTTAGTGGTTATATTTGTTTGTTTATTGATTTGTTTTCTGTTGTTAGTTGGATTCGTTTTCTTTTAATTTTATTTTATTTTCTTTATTATTTTTTATTTTTTTGTTTTCTCGCTAATCCGTAGCTACTCCAAGTCTCTAAAGATTCACTTTAGTGAATCTGCGTAGGAAAGCCGGGCAAATTCGTTTCAACGAAATTTGCTCGACCCCAGGCGCAGCAACCCGAAACTCTGGCCCGCATGCTCGGGCAGAGTGCTCGACGAGCGACTCAGTGAGTGCGTAGCAGCACGCGAGCTTGGGGAGCGCTTCCGAGAAAAGCAGGAAGTAGGAGTTGCGCGGGGAAATAATGGGAATGACCGAGCAGTGGAAGCAGGGAAGCAACGAGGTAGAGACACGCGGGGAAGGAGGAGGAGAAGGAGGAAAAGAAGAAGAAGAAGAAGAAGAAGAAGAAGAAAAAGAAGAAAAAGAAGAAGAAGAAAAGGAGGAAGAGAAAGGGGAAGTATCGGAGGGAGAAAAGATAGCGTAGCAGGGAAGAAGGTGATAAAGGAATGTGAAGGAAGCGAGGACGAAAACGATTGATTTCGGAGGTAGAGGTAGGGGCGCAAACAGAAGAAGAAAATAAGAAGGGGAAGAAGAAGAAGAAGAAAAAAAAAAAAAAAAAAAAAAAAAAAAAAAAAAAAAAAAAAAAAAAAAAAAAAAAAAAAAAAGATGAAGAAGAAAAGGAGGAAGAGAGAGGGGGAGTATCGGAGGGAGAAAATATAGCATAGTGGGGAAGAAGGCGATAAAGGAGCGCGAAGGAAGCGAGGAGCAAAACGATTGATTTCGGAGGTAGAGGTAGGGGTGCAAACAAAAGAAGAAAAGAAGAAGGGGAAGAAGAAGAAGAAGAAGAAGAAGAAGAAGAAAAATAAATAAAGAAGAAGTAGAAGGAAGAAGAAGAAAATGGGGGAGAAGAAGAAGAAGGGAGAAGAAGAAGAAGGAGAAAGGAAAGAGGGGGAGAAGAACACTTACCTGACCGTGTGGTCAGACGACGAGCACGACGACGACGACGACGCTGATGACGATGAATACGACGACCACGACGACGCTGACGACGATGACGACGATGACGACGATGACGACGACGACTACGACGACAACGACGACGACTACGACGACAACGACGACAGAATGAGAGAGCGAGAACAGTTAAGTTTCCAGTCTCGCGGGTGCTCTCGTGGTACTTCCATTGATAGGATGAGCAAAATCGAATGAATCTATCACTAGAACATGGAGATGTACACTGTCAAACTCGTTTTTGTTGTGTGTGTGTGTGTGTGTGTGTGTGTGTGTGTGTGAGGTTGTGAGTGTGTACAATATGAGGGACTGTTCACGCGGCTAATCCCCACTACTTCCATCGAAAAGGATGAGCAACTCGATTGAATCTGCTGAAATATTCACTACTACAGAGTGTGCACGTGCGAGTGTGTAGGTGAGCGTGCGTTTGTGTGTGTATGTGAGTGAGGAAGAGAGAGAGCTGGTAGGACTTATAACGAAGCGCAAAGAAGAAGAAGAACAAATAGAAAAAGAAGAAGAAAAAGGAAGGATGAAGAAAAAAGAGGAGGTGTGCAGAGGAAGGAAGGGTGATTACGTGGGAGAGGGAAGGGGAAGTCGCTTGGAGCAGTGAATCCCCCTCGGTGGCGGACAAGTGCGGCCAAGTCCACGGCCGCGGCCGAGTCCGCGACCCCGCGGACGCATCCGCGCGACTTCGCGGACGCGTGGCGGCCGGTGGGGAGGGGGGTTGGGGATTCGGGAAGCGCCATGGGGCGGCGCAACCCCAGCCCCMCCCCCTCAAGCAAAAAAAAAAAAAAAAAACATTTTTTGTGTGGGGGGGATTGGGTGAGTGAAGGTATTTCGAATTCGTTGATTGATTGATTGGGACCGGCCCAAACGACACCTGAAACGGACCAAGGGTTGGTGAGGTAATCAAGTTTGACGAGTTGGGACCGGACCAACGTGACCGCCTAATTCCATCGGAAGCGGAATAGCCCCAAGATGGTCACGTAAATAAATAACCCAGCCCTAGTAGTAATTTACATGGGGTCACATGTTATTTTAGGTACGGGACTGACTGTTTGTGTCCCAAAGTCGGGCCTGTACCAGTCCCGTGCTAAAATTAGCATAGTCCCACGCTATTTTTAGCGTGGGACTGACTGTTCGTCTACCGGGGACTGGGCCTACTCCAGTCCCGTGCTAAAATTAGCACAGTCCCACGCTATTTTTAGCGTGGGACTGAGTGTTCGGTTACCTAGGACTTACTGTTCGGTTACCTGGGACTGGCTGTTCAGCTACCTAAGGCTGACCGTTCGTGTCCCAAAGTCGGGACTGGTGCTAAATTTCACATTGACTTGGTCTAATTTTAGCCCCAACCTCGACTATGGGATTGCTGCATCCAGCACCCGATATCCGGCCTCTCCACTATAAAGAAGAGGCCGTGCCACTCAAGAGGGGGTGAGGGAGCACTCACTTGCGGGATGCGGAGATGCTGGCAGGACGGCAAGGAAGAGGGACTGGAGCTGCTATGCTGGAGTAGCCAGGAAAAGGAGCGAGGCCAAGGCAGGCAAGAAGGAGGTAAACGGGCCGGGCTGTTCGGAAAGCATGGCGGACACATACACAGTCAAACAAACACAGACATACCCGGTAGGTCTGCGGGAGGCCAATACCAGCTAAAAGGGGGTCCGAAACCCCCCGACATGTGAGTGCGCTGGGGGGGGCCCGGCCCCCAACCGGGTGCCCTGCCCTGCCCGGCCGCCTAGGACCTCCCCCGGGCCCCTGCCAGTCACCCGGGTGGCCCAGATCCCCACTTAGCAATTAAACACAATTCAAAATGGTTCAATTATGACTCATGTTGCTTGCTAAAGAGGTGAATTCTTTAATTGTTGGGCTAGCTCAACTTGAATCTACTTGTCTGGGTGGAATAGGGGCTGTTGTTGTGGACACTTACAACACATACACCCCTGACCAGAGGCACTCACACACACACAAAAAGTAGACAAAGGCAGTGAAAGTTTCGCATTCACACGAGGAAATGAGACAACCCATTGCCCAACGCTTACATGATGAACAAACTGCACGAA